CAGCCTCCTCTTCTCTAGGCTAAACAACCCCAGTTCCCTCAGCCGCTCCCCATCAGCCCTGTGCTCCAGACCCTTCCCCAGCTTCCTTGCCCTTCTCTGAACACGCTCCAGCACCTCAACAAAAAATCGATAGCCTCCAATCCATTACCCGGATTTAGCAATGGGGAAAACTAAGGGGGCAGAGGTCTGGTGTCACCTTGGGCAACGTAAAGGATGGCTCGGGCAACCCTCAGCCTCTTCTCCCGCGCGGTGACCTCCAGCCCATCGAGGAGCCGCATGGCGTGAGTGCGGTGCTGGTTCTTGTCCAGCTCGGTCCATTTCTTGTCCCGCACTGAAAAGCCAAAGCAGGCAGGCTGAGGGCACGGGGCACCTCTGCCTGCCCTGGACACAAACCATCACAGAACAGCTCAAAAGGATTCAGCATGACGGAAAACAGGGCTGCCCCAGGCAACATCACATCCATCTGAACCAGCGCTGGCAGCTGATGGGAAATGAGCTGGATACTCTTGCTGCTGCACAGCTGTCCTGGCGCCGATGAACCGCCTCAGACATCAACATCAGTAAACACTGAGCGTGTTGGAGGCAGCGAGCTGCGCTCCGGGGCCAGCCCACGCACACTAACGAGATCTCCAGTCCAAGCCGCATGAAGATTGTCAGCGTACGGCTCGAGCTCTCTGACCTGACACAGCATTAATGCATCAATCCCCGTGTCTCCTTCGGGAGATCCCTGTCCCTCCCCAGAGGGGTGAGAGGTCCAAGAGAAGGGTCTTACCGTGGATCCTGAAGTCCTCCTCGAAGCACTTGCGGTTGAGCAGGAACTCTGGGCCTTCTGTGTAGCTGTACAGCTCTGCCAAAAGAGCACAGAGGAAAATCTCCAGCAACCTGCACCGAGCTGTCAGAGGAAGCTGCAACTTGGCCACGTTAATTGCAGTTTTATCCAAGATGAGGGAAATGCAAAAAACACACCCAGCATAAGGCTAAAAAAATCAATTACACAATATCACTTCCCTTTTAGTGTGACTAAGGTGTTTAAAGACAATAATGGAGCAATACTGGAATTGATGGAGCTCCTTTCATCACTACCAGGAAAGAAAATTAAGGCTGATTCATTGATCCATCAAGACAAATTCCTTACCAGAGAGCTCTGCAGCCCATTTGTCCGTATCTGCATATTCAAACTCCAGGTCTGGGGACTCGGAATAGCCCTGAAAGCAGAGGAAGAATTCCGTTTACATTACAGTGTGTTTCAGGAAAACCAAAATCCCCAAGACATTCACAATTCACCTCATCCTCCCGCGACTCCAGGACTGTATCTTCCGTTCGAGACCAAAAATGTACCCGCAGCAGCATAAACGTTACCAAGGCAACTCCTACCCACCTCCTGCATCTCCATCCCAGCTCTCCCCAGCTCCGCCGCATTGAGCCACGCTGCGCTTCGCCGGTGGGCAGCCCCTGCTGCTGCACCACCTCTAAAACACTCCGGGAGCCCCAAAAGGCCAAAAAATAAAGCAGGAGACAGGGCGTGTTTAATCGCAGGGCAGGGAGGGCGTCATGTGGGACCAGGGTGCTCTCAGAGCTCACCCATTTTGCATAGATGTGTGAAAATTTGGGCTATCCCCCCAGTGCCGACTGCAGGGATGCCAGTGGATGTGAACAGTGAGAATGAAACAACTCCAGGCAGCTTTAGTGAGGCTGAAAAAACATCCAGAAGAAGCCTTAGAGTATGAAGTATCTGTTCCCTTTAAGGAATTCATCAACATGGGCCCAAAGCAAAACCCTCCTGAATGTCAGGGCACCCACTCCTGAGCAGATCCAACCCGCTGGGGTTGGGTCTGTGCTGCTCTGCAGGGCTGGGAGCAGTTCCCCGGCACCCAAGGATCATGCAGACCTTCTTGTGACCCTCTCCCATCATTTCGGGGAGCGTTCCCCATGCCGGTGAGGACACCCGTGGAAGCGGATGGCTCCAGAGCCACCCCAGGAATGAACCAGATTTGGGGGATGTGATGGGAAAGCCCCGGGGTAAATCAAATCAGCTCCACCCAGTCCCACAAAATCCTGATCCCCCCCGGCTCAGGAGGCCCCACCGGGACCTCGGGGTCTCCTTGGAGGGGTCGGTCACCTCTTGCCAGAGCCATCCCGGGACCGATCCGATGCGTGGGGACCCGACAACCCAGCCCTCGCCGCACAGGGCCCCTACTGACCGGCAAAGCTGGGGAGAAGCCCCCGGCCGGGGCGGTGAGAGCCCAGCGCAGCCCTGGAAGCAGGGTGGCCAGTGCCAGGCCTGTTTGGAGACCCAAGACCGAGCCACCCTCATGCCCAGATGGGTCCAACCGACCCAGACTTGG